AATTAAAAAATATATATAAAAGGATTGGTTAAGGATTTAATAGTCTTTTCAATGTTTGTTTTTTTTACTGTTGGGGCCCTCGAATTTACCTCTGACGCGCCTAATTTGGATGTATTTTAGAGTTTTGGGCTAAATTCATCCCTTAACTATGACTAAGGCTTAGGTTACATCCTTGTATTATAATAGTTAACAAGAAACATCCTTTTAGTATTTAAAATATAACAAAAGTCAGTCTTTTATCTATTTGAGTTAAAAAAACTAACATTGCTTTTTCAACAAGTGATTTTCTCTCTCCCATATCCCTATTTTGCCCCTCTCAAATCTGTCCCATCGTCTGTCTTCCATTTTCAGCAAAACCAAGAAGGAAACTCAATATTTTCTGAACTTGACAAAATAATCAAGATCAAGAACAAATTTTTCTCTTCAACTAGAGTTGAAAACAGGGCAGAGAGAGAAACACAAACAAGGTAAAGGAATAAAAATCATTGAAAATTTCTAGTTTTTCTGATTCGAAAAATATTTGCAATTTTCTATTTCTCAAACTAAAACATCTTCATTCTTAAAAACACTAGATATTGCGGTTTGCAGCATAACAACTAACTGGAACAATGTCGATTCGAAGTTTACGTGGTCGATCGTCCACACCAAACTATGGTATTATCGATATTCAAGACATTTTAAGCATTTTTTAATATCATTTGCAATGCCTTTCATATTGATTTATAAGTATTATTGATTTTGAAAAGCTATATTAAGTTTTTTATTTGATATATAAGGTTTTGTTTTCTGGATATTCATTATAATGAGCTTGTAGTTCTTTGTTGGCTTTATGTATTCAGATTTGTATTATATGTGCAGATTCTATGAATGAGTCATTGTTTTTCACAATTAAAGTACATCATGGTGGATCATTTGTGCGTAGTTCGACAAGAGGCTACATAGGTGGAAAAATCAAATATTTTAACTATGTCGACAGTACAATGATTAATCTAATATATTTTAAGAATATGGCGGAACAATGTGGTTATGACAAGGAATCTGTGGTATTTTGGCACAAGTATGGTTTAAACTCTTATATTGTTCGATTAGTTGGGAGTAATATGGAAGCCGCTAAAGTTGTTACTTGCATTCCAAAGGACAGAGTAGTTGAGATATATTTTGAACATTTGAATTTTTATCATGATGATAATCAATGTGGAAATGAGATGAAAAAGAATTCTTTGCTGGCAAATGACATAGAGGCACATAGTGATGAATTTGACGATGAAGATTTTAATGATTCTGACTATTCTTTGGTGTAACACCCCAGAAAATTTTTCGAATTAAGACTTGAACTATCCTTCGTTGTGAGTAGGATTTTACCGAGGAATTTAAAATTTCTTAAGTGTTAAGTTCACTAAATGTAGCACCTTGAGTTCGAAAAAGAACTAAATTGGAAATAGCAAAATCTGAAATTTTGCAAGTTATGCTTAAGTATGAGTTTTGGGTCGACTTCAAACAACCATAACTCCTATCTCAGGATGAATTAGGTGTGCTACCAGATACTGTAGCGAAGATATTTGAAATATCTTTCCAACGCCGCGGAGTTTGCTATGTTTCGAGGTCGGATGAGTGAGATATGGCCCTTTTGAAGATAGGCTGACCAGTTAAGGAAGGTTAGCCGAAAACAGAAAGGGTTATTTTGGTCTTTTCCTTACCCAATCAGATTTAATTCATTTTTAGTAATATTTTAATGGTCTAATCCTATTAGTTTCAGTTTTATAATCCTAAAATTAGCCTAGGGTTTTAGTTGAGAGTTCAAGAAGAAAAAGAAGAAGAGAAAAGAGGAGAAAAGAGAAAGGATGAAAGCGTTCGTCGAGATTCTTGCATCTTGTTGCGGATTTTCGCCATGGGTTTAATCCCTAAGAGGTATGTAAGCTTCCATAGTGTTGGGTTCTTTCACCCACACGCCAATCATGATTTATTCAGCGTAATTTCGTTCTTGAAATTTATGGATTTAAGTTCTTGATGAGTTCTTGATAAGTGTTCTTGAAGTTTATTAAGTTTTGAAGTAAGATTCTGCTTAGGTCAACTTTAAACGACCATATCTCTTAGAATATTAAGAGTTACGTGAGCCATAACCTATCCAATTAAAGGTAATTGAATCTACTTTCCAACCCCACCAATTTCACGTCAATCCAATATCTGAGTAAAAAGTTATGACTATTTTAGTAACCTATGCAGTGCTGTTACGAATTAGCCGACGGGAAAATATTGAAAATAATCGGTTTTTGTCTTTTTACCTCCAAGAAAGCCATCAACGAGTTTCTTGACTAATTAAAAAGCTCAAAACAATCAGATTTTCATCTTCCCTCATGAAAATCATAATTTTTGGCTATAGAGATTTTAAGAAACTAACTCGAGAATCTCAAGAAAGGTCTTCATGATTGTTTACCTTCAAGCTAGGGTTTCAAGGCTTCTAATCAAGTTCTTCTTCAAGATTTTTTCAAGATTCTTAAAGATTCTTCAAGATTCTTCAAGAATCTTGTTCTTCTAGGTATGTAAGGCTATCATAGTGTTGGACTAGTTCATCCTCACGCCCTACATCTACTTTCAAATCAGAAAAAGAGTAATATAGGATACTTTCCCTAGATTTGAGTATTCTTGAGATAAGTTGATTTTGAGTTCTTGAATTCATGTTTGTTTTAAAAGTTCTATTCCTAATTATCGAATATCTATATTGTTATTGAGATCCTTCATATCATGAATCATAACTCTTGAATTCATAATTCAAATTCAAGAGGGAGTTAAGAGTAGAGTTCAAGAAAGCCTTTGAGTTCAATTGTGAATCCTTTGAGAACAACTATCGATTTGAACTAAGTTTTGAGGAAGTAAGTCAGAGAATGAGAAGAGTCACATACATGAGTTTCATAATGTTATGTAGACTTACGAGTCAAGTCGTTCATGCCCATAAATTCCGCATGAACTCCAGAAGTTGAGTATCTTTGAGAGGAGTAGTATCTTCAAGTTCTAAGTCTTGAGTATTGAGTTCCTAATCCCCTTTGAGATTATATTTCTAAGCATGGGACTATTACATGTTACCCATAAAGTCTTTGAGTTGAATTGTTCATGCCCATAATTCCGCATGAATCCTATAAGTCGAGCAGTCTTAAGAAGAGAAGTATCTTTGAGTCCTTAAGTTGAGTCGTTCATGCTCATAATTCCGCATGAACCCTCTGAGTTGAGCATTCTTGAAATTAGTAGTATCATTGAAGTTCTTGAGTTCCAAGTATTTGAGTTCTATCTATGGTTATTGAAAACCTTGCATTTAGTAGTTCATGTCCATAATTCGGTATGAACCATATTTTAAGAAGTCTTTTACAAACGTTTTAACTTTGTTTAAATACTTAAGTTTTGAGTTCAGTAAAGAGTAAAGAGTAAAGTTTGAAGTCCTTTTCTTCAAAAGTATATGGGGACTAAGTATTCCCAAAGAGTTTATAAATGTTTTCACATTTAAATAAGAACGGAAACTGAGATTTCCAAAGGGCTTTCGGGCTAGTTTTCAGAAAAGAGTAATAGCTTTCTAAATGAAGCAAGCAGGGAAACTGAGATTTCCAAGATAGCCTTTGAGCTAAGTTTTTGAGCAATTATCTCAAATCAGCAGAAAAAAAGTATGTTTTAAAAACATAAGAGCTAGTATATTTTGGGAGTAGTATTGAGCACCGATATGGGGGAGAGTTCAGACAACTCACAGCCCCCATAAACCATGTAGCCATCATGGGTAGAAAAGGGTCATACTTTTTAGATGAACCTTTTTCACATAGACTAGTAGATCCATTAGTAGTTCAGGTTCTATACCTTTGGCCGGGTATAGAATGCGCTGGCAGCGTGAGGTAGATCGTTGTATCATCATTATAGCTCTTATGTGATGGTTGTCGGTTAGAGAAACTCCCACAGAAGTTATTGTATTTTTATATACATCAGTTTATTGTATTTTTATATACATTTCAGAGTTATGTTGTATCCTTGCATACACACAGATTTGACAGCATGTTTTTAAACAGTTTGTTTCTTTATATTGCACTTGTTTTAAATTGCTTTATATTGAAATGAGTTCAGTCATATTTAGTTGAGTATTCAAAGTTGAGAGTCCAGAGTTGAGTATCCAGAGTCGAATATCATATCTTTGAGTCGAATATCATATCCTTGAGTTGAGTATCTAATCTCTGAGTTGAGTATCTTATCCTTGAGTACTTCTGAGTTGAGTAAGTTTGAGTAGTTTGGAGTATTCCTTGAGTTGAGTAAGATTGAAAACAGGCAAGTATGTTTCCTTTTTATCAAGTTTCAAGCTTATGTTTATGTTTTAGAATTCCCCTTACATGCTCGTACATTCCACGTACTGAGCCATTTGACCTGCATCTTTTCATGATGCAGACACAGATATTCAGGATCATCAACAGGAGCTTCGTTGATACATCCAAGAGTTCGAGTTAGCTATGGTGAGCCTCCTTGGTTTCGGAGGATTTCATTTACCTTTTAGTTATATCAATTGTTAGGATGTCGTGGGTCTTGTCCCGACTTCCATTTTTATCAGTTAGAGGCTTCATAGATAGTCAGTACAGTTGAGAAGTCTGTATCATTTATTTTATTAAATGTTTTAAAGACTAAAGTTGCCTTTTTATGGCGAGTTGTATATATTTTATTATACAGAGTTTTCTTTGGACTTAAAGTTTATATTTAAGTTTTATGAACTTTTATTTCAGTTTTTAAGCGTTGTATGCTTGAATCAGTTTTCCGCTTGTAGTCAGCCAGGATGAGGGTTCGCTTGGGAACCAGCAATGGTCTTCGAGTGCCGGCCACGTCCAGGGTGTAGGCTCGGGTCGTGACATTTGGAGGAGGATGATTTGTTATTTTTTAAAAATGTTGATCCTTCTGTTGAATCTTTTGGGATCAATATAACTGTGAAAAAGAAGAAAAATGATGGAAATCAAAATTATGTAAGTGAAGAGATGCATAGAAAGATGCAGAATGAGGAGGGTGACTCAGATTGTGTAGATTTTGATGATACAAAGAGTTTGAATAGTGATTGCGATTCTGAATTTGAAGATTGTAACTTTCCAAAGCATAACCTAAAAATAGGTGCCTTTAATCCTGAATTAGAGCTGGGAATGGTATTTGATAACAAAAAGGAATTCAAGGAAGCCGTGGTTGAAAATCAAGCCAAAATAGGAAAGTCAATTCGGTGGACCAAAGATGACAGAGAAAGAGCTAGGGCCAAATGCAGAACTAATGCTTGTAAGTGGAGGATATTGGGATCACTAATGCAAAGGGATATATCTACTTTTCAAATCAAGACGTTTGTTTCCGAGCATACTTGTTTTGGGTGGAACTATAACAACAAAACCATCAATTCTAGTTGGATTGCAAGGAAGTATGTTGATAGAGTTAAATCAAATAAGAACTGGAGAATATCAGAATTCAGAGATACATTGAGTAGGGAATTAAAGTTGCATGTGAGTATGCATCAAGCAAGAAGGGCAAAGGAAAAAGCTATTGCAATGATCGATGGAGATATAAATGATCAGTTTGGTATATTATGGAATTATTGCAATGAAATTGTTTGAACTAATCCTGGAACTTCTGTTTTCATGAAACTAACTCCAAATGAGATTCTGAATAAGCCAATGAGATTTCAGAGGTTTTATATTTGTTTTGCAGCTTGTAAAGCAGGATTTAAGGCTGGTTGTCGAAAGATTATTGGGGTCGATGGATGTTGGCTGAAGAATACTATGTATGGGGCACAATTGCTATCAGCTGTTACTTTGGATGGAAATAATAACATCTTTCCAATAGCTTATGCAATAGTCGAGAAAGAAAATAAGGAAATATGGCAATGGTTCTTAACCTACTTGATGAATGATCTTGAGATTGAAGAGCAATACTTGTGGACTTTTATGTCAGATAAGCAAAAAGGGCACATTGAAGCTTTTGATTTAGTGTTGCCTGGTGTTTCTCATAGATTTTGTGTGCGACATTTGCATAACAATTTCAAGAGAGCTGGTTATTCTGGAATGGCTTTAAAAAATGCTCTTTGGAAGGCAGCTTCAGCAACAACTATTGACAGGTTTGATGCTTGTATGACTGATTTGTTTGAATTAGATAAAGATGCTTATGCATGGCTTTCTGCTAAATTGCCTAGTGAATGGTCAAGATCACATTTCTCGCCTCTTCCTAAATGTGACATTCTTTTGAACAACCAATGTGAGGTTTTTAATAAGTTTATTCTTGATGCAAGAGATAAACCAATTGTTAAACTTTTGGAGACCATTAGGCACTTACTCATGACAAGAATTAATTCTAATAGGGAGAAAGCTGAAAAATGGAACTTGAATGATATTTGTCCTACTATTAAGAAGAAGTTAGCCAAAACTATGAAGAAAGCTGCTAATTATATTCCCCAAAGGTCGAACATGTGGAACTATGAGGTAATTGGGCCGGTCGAAGGTGATAATTGGGCTGTTGACTTATATAACAGAACCTGTAGTTGTAGGCAATGGGAATTATCAGGAGTTCCTTGTAAACATGCTATATCCTCGATTTGATTGAAAAATGATGAGGTTTTAAACTATGTTGATGATTGCTACAAGGTTGATACATATCGAAAAATTTATGAAGCTTCAATATTGCCCATGAATGGCCCTGATTTATGGCCTAAGTCACTGAATCCTCCACCATTTCCACCGTCTTACTTGAATAATAAGAAGAAAGGAAAGAAACAAAAATTAAGAAGGAAAGAAGATGATGAGCCAGGGGCTAGCAGGATGAAGTTAAAACGGAAACAAAAATCAGTTGATTGTAGAAAATGTGGTAAACCTGGCCACAACAGTAGAACTTGCAGTTTCTCCTCAGATGACATTGAAATTCATCCGTCGAACTACCTTTGTAGTTTGGACTCCATCATGGTCGAGGAAGCATCAAGTTGCCAAAATGTTGAAAGGCTACCTGTAAGAATATTCAAATATTCATATTTAAGTTATTTTTATTGTAGCTTACTTGTATAACTATTCATATTTAATATTTTAATTTCTTATTTTAGGTTAGAAGAGGTACATCTCAAGCCAGCCAACAACGTCAGAGCTTTCCATTTTCTCTATGAAGTTGCAACATTGAAGAAACTACATTTTTAGTTTTGGATCTTCTTTTTGGATATTTGATGTATCAAACTAATGATATGTGACTAGTTTTTGTTGTTCATTTGTTATGTTCTTGTGCATGGAACTAATGAAAAATGTTTTAGCTTTATGATGATTTAATGACACTAGACTTTGCTGTTTTTTGCTTATTTTGTGGTGTCTTTGTTGTTACATTAACTTTCTGTTTTACTAAAATCATGAGTTTTTTTTTCTTTTCAGATTTCTACTCTTTTGGGCATTTTTTTGCTGTTTTGCTGCTAGTTTACCAGTTTTTTTTGTTGTTTTTATGCAATTTTGCAGGTTTATGTTTTTTTTTTTACTATTTTATTGCTTTTTTCTTTTTGCTTGTTTAGTACTCCCTCCGTCCCTTTTTAGTTGTCCATTTTAGAAATGGCACACAGATTAAGGCAACAATGATTAGCACAGTAAAGTTACAATTTTACCCTTATGACAACTTTTCACTTTAAAATTACAATCACTTTTTTGAATTCAAGTGAAATAAATTGGAGGGAAACAACATACACTTTTACAATTTTCAAGAAGTGTAAATAAGGGTATAATAGGAAAAAATTTGTTGTCCTTTCTTGATTTGTCAAAATGGACAACTAAATAGGGACAACTAAAAAAGGAAATATGGACAAGTAAATAGGGACGGAGGGAGTAGTTATTTGGTAGTTTAAAGTGCTCAAGATGTGAAAAGGAAAAAACGATTAGACTATACCAAATGCTTTTTATTGAACTTGAAGACAGATGATGGGACAGATTTGAGAGGGGCAAAATAGGGATATGGGAGAGAGAAAATCACTTTTTGAAAAAGCAATGTAAGTTTTTTTAACTCAAACAGACAGAAGACTAACTTTTGTTATATTTAAATACTAAAAGGATGTTTCTTGTTAACTATTATAGTACAAGGATGTAACCTAAGCTTTAGTCATAGTTAAGGGATGAATTTAGCCCAAAACTCTGTATTTTACGCATTTTGCCAGGTAGGATTCGAGTGTTTTTTTGTTTAAATTTTGGATAGTTAAAGTGTCTACTTGTGCAGTAAAGGTCAAAGTTATAATTTGAACCAAAGTTAAGGATCCTTTTTATGTATTATGTCTAATTTTTTTGACGTTATCTTCTCTAAGATCTAACAATCTGACAATATCTATTGTTACTCGAACAACTCTTTGTACTAGCCAGTTATTTAGTCCAAAGTTCCAAAAAAAAAAAACTTCCTTGAACAATTAAAGTAATACTTTTTTTAAGAGAATAAATTGAAGATTTAGAATTATTTTTTTTAAAAAAAATTCAACTCTTTCTTTCTTTACATTAATCAAAAATTATAAATATAATATAATACAATATACTTCTTATCCACTCTACACAAAGGAAATAATTATCATTTATTTATATAGATGTCAAATTTCTTCATATATAGTCAATATCAAATTTGTGAATAAAGGTAATTAGTAGATGTGATTACATGAGTTATTACAGAAAATAATAATCACTTTTTTAAATCATTATATATCCACTAATATATTATACACGTTAACTAATATTTTAATTATATCAAAATGCCCTAACTCCAACATTGAGATTTGACCTTATTAATTAAATATAATAAAGGGGGAAAAACTTAAATATACAAATTAATTACCTAAATTACCACTATATAGCAATAGTTTTTTTTTCGCCTACATAACAATAGTTTTTTTTCAAAGTTAGATTTTAATATTAAAAAAAATGTAATATTAAAAAAAAAAACGTTTCCACGATTTTGCTTTTTCCTTTTTTTTCTCAAATCTTTTATCTTCCATGATTTACTCAAATTGGTTATATATATTCTCTCCTATCACTAAAAGGTTTCTTACCAAAAGACGTTCAATCATGGTTACCAATAATTATTCAATCCTAATTCAACATAAAAGACGTTGGGATGCATTAGGTATTATTGATAATTCAATTTTTAATTTGTATTATTTTATGTGATTTTTCTAATTGAGAAATCATGATGATTATGTTGTAGTATACCATGTTTGATATGGGTTTTTTGTGTAACAATCGAAAAAACAACTTAAAAATCAATTTTATAAAATTGAATTTTGTCAATAATAAGTCGTTTAATTAATGGTGAAAAATAGGTTGTTGTTATTCACCAATTCCGTGTTTTGATTTTATTTTTTTAATTCTTTGGTTTGTTTTGTATGATTTTGGGGTTTAGAATAGAAATCATATTTACTGATTATGTGTTTGGTAAGTGATTTGGTGAAATTGATCGTTTTTAATTAGTTTAGTGTAATTCTGATTTTTTTTTGTGTCATTCAAACTTGTTTTTATGTACATGATGATGATTTTTTTCTTGTTTTTAATTATTTGGTTGTTTTGTATGGTTTCGAGGTTTAGAATAGAAATCATATTTATTGATTATGTGTTTTGGTAAATGATTTGGTGAAATTTATTGTTTTGTATTAGTTTGGTTTAATTATGATTTTTTAGTTGGTTTTTTTTTTACATGATGATGGTGTACGTATTATTCTATTTTGGTGTAATTTTGGGTGTCATTCATAGTTGTTTTTTTACATGATGATGGTGTACGGATTGATTCTATTTTGGTGTAATTTTTGGTGTCATTCATAGTTGGTTTTTGTTTTTGAGATGATGATGGTGTACATGTTGATTCTATTTTAGTACATAATGATGGTGTAAACATCAATTTTTAACCATATTATTCACCATTTCGTATATAACTTTTTTTTTGGTGATATAAGAAAATATGATTGTATATTTCAAATTTGATTTTCAAAACTGTTGTTTAGTATGTTCTTTAATTATTTTTGAAATGTATTGCAGGAATGTATGCGGATTTCAAGATTGAAGGATTGATATGTGACACAAATACCAATTGAAAATAATAATTGAAGAATATCTAAAGTAAATTGTAGAAAATGTGTTATAGCCTATGGAGGATCACAACAACAAAAAACTTGTACCAAATATCCATATGAAGATTAGCATTGTTGAGTTGATTTTTTTTTAACACTTTTTTCATAATCTAATTAAATGATATTTGTGGATTTGAATATTATTTGTTGTTTATTAAATATATTTTTTTTTAGAATCATATTTAATTGTATGATGTAATTAGTTCTATTATTTATATATGTTGGTTTTCCTTGTGGTGTAAAATGTCATTTGAAAAAATAAAATGACACGATATATAAACTAAAATTGGTATATTACATGGGGTAGAATTCAATAATTGTTGGTATATTATATGATACAATGTTAGTATTATTATATGGTACAATTTTGATATTATAAATTTTCAATGTTATTCGCAAATAGTGTCATATAGTTCTAGTGTAATTTCAAGTTCCCAAGTTTGTACTAGTGTTAATTGTAAAAGATAATATTATCAAAATAATAATTTTCATTATGTTATAAACTGACAATTTGAGAAAAAAAATAATGACAAAAAATATCAACAAGTTCAATTTATTAAATGGTGCAGATGTTGCTATAATATTTGTATTTCACATATTACAATACTGATATAATTTTGGTACTTTAGATGATACAATGATGATATAATTTTGATATTTTAGATGATTAAATATTGGTATACTTTGGTGGTTTAGATGATGCAATATTGATATATTATATGGTACATATATTTTGTTTACACAAATTTGATATATTATATGGTATATATTGGGGTGTAATATAATATTAACATATTATATAAGACTTAACACCAAAATTGTATGGAAATCTAAATAATATTCAAGTTTTTAATTATTTTATTAAACTTTCTAGATTTAAATGGTTATTTAAGTCATGCCATAAAAAAATAAAATATTTTGTCAAAAGAATAACGTAGATAAATTTTAGAAATTTCAGGAAAAAAAATTGTCACAATAAAAGAAAAAAAATATTAGTATGAAAACAGTTTTAAAGAGGTGAGAGAAGACTACAATTAATAAATGATATAATTATGGTTGGAAAGTCAAAATAAACAATAATTATCAATTCCATAAATTTAGCACATAACCCCCAAAAATAGAAAATCAATCGAATACTAAAATATATTAAAAAAATAATCGAAAATTCAATATATGAAAAAAAAAACACAGTATAATTATGATTAAAAAGCCAAAAAGTAAATAATAATTATCACTACCATAAATTTAGCACATAATCCCCAAAAATAGGAAATAAATCGTATAATAATTATTATTTAAAAAAAAGGGAAATTCAAGATATGAGTAAAAAAAAATACAATATAAGAGTAAAATTATGGTTGGAAACTCAAAAGGTAAACAATAATTATCAATCCCATAATTTTAGCACATAACCCCCCAAAAAAGGAAATAAATCAAATATTAAAGTAATTTTTTTTTAAAAATCGAAAATTAAATATTATGTCATGTTTGTAATTAAAAACTTAGTTTTGTAAATAAAAAAGAGTATATTTATATATTGTTAATTAAAATCTTAAATAGTATATTCTTGTAATTTTTCCTATAATAAAAAGAGATCAATGCAGGCCCATAATATAATTAAGAAGAACCTAGGTACGAAGTAGACTACTAATAAAGTATGTATGTATTGCTTCGTACGTGCTACCAAAACATAAATATATAAGAGACTTGAGCACCATATACTTCGTAAATGCACATGTATGGAATATTACAATTAAATCGTCGTTATCAGGTTGTGGGATAGTGATGAGACTGTTTCACCCAGAAAATCATGTTGGAAATGCCACCTGAATGAGCTTTGGAGCACCGTGCGCGATCTCAATTTAGTCGACGCTCCAATGCCACCGTCTTCTTCTTTTTGTTATTCCTCACTCCTATTCAATGATCATTAGTTTTCGCATTTTGATTAATTTAAATTTGTGTCACGTAAAATGCATCAAAGATCATGTTATTTCTATTATTTATGATTATTAAGCTCGAAATTAAAACCTTTG